TCCTGGTCTCCAAAGTCTTAGCTGTTCCAGTGCCAACCCAAAAGTCCAAAGTCTAGCTGTGAGCTCAAGGTCAAAACCGCTGCCTGCTTCCAAACATGGGGACACACAGGCGAGGGACAGAAGTGCTGTTCCGAAGACAGGATGCAAGGAAGCAGCAATAGGCCTCAGGCAGTCGGAAACCTGGGACAGTGGGCCCCTTCCTAAAGCTGGGGGGGTCAATGACCTATTCCACATGCCACCCCCTGGACATTTGGTATGAGCTGGGGGAGACTGGCCCTCAAAGCGTCAGGCAGTCCTGCCCCATGGCTTGCTAGGTTCAGTCTACCTCCAGCTCTTCAGGTTGGGGTGGCACTGCTGGGTGACTTTCCTGGGACATGTGCATACCCACTTCCTAGCTGCCAGCCTCTCTGAAGCTCCACCTGGCACAGTCTTGGTAATATTGTCTAGGGTAGCTCTGCCCCTATGGCAGGTCTGACTACAGGATGTTATGCCTCATCCTCCTGCACTCCATGTGCCTGCAGAGTCAGCCTCCTGAGACACTGCCAAGGCTTATGGCTTACACCCCCTGCCTGGGGTTGAGCAAATAGTGGAATGCAGGGAGCAGAGGCACAGGTGACCCTGAGCCCATTCTGCCCTCAAGGCACTAACATTCTGAGCCTGCCAGGAGAGGCATCCCCCTGTTGAGGAGGTCTTCCCTGTTGTTCACCAACCACCTACCTTTAGTAGCCTCTGGCTGCCTGATTGCACCCCTGGATGGTTTCCTACTCTGTATGTGGTAGGACGTGGCACTTCCTCAAAACAGCTACTCCCTCAACTTTTCTATCAGCATGCAGCCACAATCACGCAATCTCAGAAGCTCCAAGCTTTCCCAAGTCGCCCTGTCTTTCCCAAGCCCACCAGAATGGCCTTCGATGCTTGGGCATTTCCTGCCTTTCGTTTCAAAACAGCCCAGCAGCTACCCACTCTCCAGTTCAGAAGCTGCCTCCACATTGCTATAGCAACAACCAGTTCTTGGCACCACGATTCTTAGTCCATTATCTGTTGCCATTACAAGCTATCACAGAGGCTGATCGATGAGGAGCAAAGGTTTATCTAGTTCACGGTTCTTGAGGCTGGGAAGTCTAAGAGCAAGGTGTCAGCATCCAAAGGCCAGGGAGGGTGTGGCTACTTCAACTCAAGGCAGGTCGGACACATGCAGAAGGGGCAGTATGGCTTTATAGTGACCCTCCTCTTCAGTGCTAGCACAGTTGTGACAAAGAAGGGACTTCCCCAGGAACAAGGTTCTAACCCCTCTTCAAAATCTCATCCTGACCTTGCCACAATGGCAAATTCCAACACGAGTTTTAGAGGGGCACAAATCACACTCAAACTACACTCCACCAGTAGGTAGCGGGACTAGAAGGGCACAGGAGAACTCATGGAGAGCAGGTTATATCCATAGTAGGACAGACTGAAGGGAGCCCTCTATTATCCCCATAAAGCAACTCTTGCTTTGCAAACGAGCCTGGCCAGGACCCACATAAACCCGAACCACAAAGTTCTGCAACAAGACCTTCAGAGACCCTCCTCGGGGAAAGAATGTAACCCCAAATCTTTCCCCACAAGTTCTCCCAAGACCCTTTTTTTGGGGGATGCAGGCCTTAGATCCTCTACCCAACCCCCATGGCTCTGTTTACAGACACAAAAGTACTTAAGCGCTCCTGCTGTTTGTTCAATCAGTAGTCACCCTTATTGACTAATAAAGGTCAGTTTGGATTGTATGAGGCTGGTGGCAATTCTTTCCTAATCCTAACACTTACCTGGGAGAGAGAGTTCTAACCCAGAAGCAAGCTCTCTGCTTACAATGCCTAAGTCCTAACATTCTGGGAGTGAGTTCTCAGCTGTGGACAGAATTAAAACTCCTAATTCCTAGCCGGGTGTGGTGGCATACACCTTTAGTCCCAGCACTCGGGAGGCAGAGGCAGGCAGATCTCTGTGAGTTCAAGGCCAGCCTGATCTACATAGTGAGTTCCAGGACAGCTAGGGCTACAGGGAGACCCTGTCTCAAAAAGATCCCCCCCGCCCCCGCCAAAAAAAAATCCCCTCCTAATTCCTAACACAGAGGTCAGAGAGCCAAAACTGGCTCCAGGGAGGGAAGACAGGCAGGAAGGGCTGGGCAAGGGTGAGAAGCCTGGACACAGGAGGCTTACATAGTTGGCACACGTGCCAGCAAGTGGGGAGGGCTGCCCAAACCCCCTGGGCTTCACACCTGTACTCATGAACCTGCCTCCAACAGGTCAAGAGCCCTGGGAAGTCAGTCACACCTGCCCATTTGGGCTGCTGAGGCCACCAGGGGTCTGTTGCCTGCAGGGCGTTGCAGTGTTTATCATGTGCACTTCTGTGCAAGACGTTTCCTCACACTGCAGTTTCACTGAGATTCCAACTCAGAACAACTTTATTTCTACAGTGTCTGTCTTTGAAATCTCTCTGAAGTTTACAAAGAGGCTATTTTTTTCCTCCAAATTTATTCTGGAGATGAACGCGGTTTGCCTTTTGTCCTAGACAGATCAGTGGCAGGCAGGCAGGCAGGGCTCCATGGGCCACTCTGTCACAGGTGGTCCCCAGCCCTCCCCAAACCCCTCCTCAGAGGGGACAAGGCACTGCAGCCAGGACCTCACCTACTCCGCAGCACATACTCCAGGGTGGAAGCTTGTAAGGGGTGGTGTAACTGTGGAACACACTGACATCATGAGGTGCCAGGAATTCCACGAACTTGGCATCACTGAAGGCATCCTTCTTACAGTGAAATATGGAGGCAACTTGGTTAGAGATGTACAAGATCTTCCCAGAAACCAGGGACACGGCCACAGCAAACATATCCTGAAAAAGGAGAATATGACCAGATGGTCCTAGTTGGTAGGTTCTGGATGGCCAGCAGGCTGGAGGGAGCAGCCTACCACGAGGGCCAGGGGGCCTGAGCTGCCCTAAGCCTGACCAGTACAACCTGACTTGTTGCAATGCTGGGGTCCAACATGACATCAGGACAACATGAAGGCAGCCCGTCCCTGCTCCACCAGCGTGGCCTAGTGACCTCTGCCAGCTGGTCCCTTCCAGGTTCTAAGGGTGCTGTCTGGCCACCTGGAGGGCACTGGTAGGCAGGAGACAGGAAGGCTTGGGAAGCCTATGCTGAGGTCAGTGTCTCCACAGTCCCAGTGCCTGTTGGATCCTGGCAGGTTATGATGTCTGTTCTTACTGAGAACTCAAGGGGTAGGGACTATCCTCCTATAGACGTCTATAGGACACTTAGCAACACATGAGCTTTGAGGTCTCTAGTCCCAGACCCCATCATGACCACAAAGACTGGGCAAATGGATGGGCACCAACTCTGTCTCTTCACCCTAAGGCCATGGAAAGCCTAAGGCCCCCAGTTCCATCACAGCTGGGCTTCTCCGGTACCAGGAGGTACAAGGCAGTCAGAGAGGGGAGGACAGTCTCCCAGAAGAGAGCAGCCATCTAGAACATGACTGCATCTGGAACCACCAGCTTCAGGGTTTATTTTTATTTTTTAAAGGAAAGGACTCATTTTCTGAAATTCCACTGCTCCTGCTGGGGAGCCTCTAGTCACAGTGGACCACCTGGCTTACCCAGGGAGACCAGTCACAGTGGACCACCTGGCTTACCCAGGGAGACCAGTCACAGTGGACCAGCTGGCTTACCCAGGGAGACCAGTCACAGTGGACAGCTGGCTTACACAGTGAGAACGTGCACCATGTCAAGACACTCACTGCATTCTTCACGATGTACTCAGAGGTGATGCCCTCAACCTGCTCCACGGTGTAGGAGGGAACGTCCATACTGCAAGGCTGGCTCTCACTAGACATCAACAGCTGGTAATATTCCTCGTTAGCTGCAGAAGAACCAATAGCCATGCTCAGCAGGAGAAACCGGTGACAGCGCACTGTCACTGATGCTTGCAGGTAGAGTGCCACTTTTCTCAAATGAACTGGTGGGACGAGGACAGCATCTTTCTTGACACAGTGAACGCACAGACATGGGCGTCAAGCACGTAAGAACAGACATCTGGGTGTGTCTCCGAAATGCCAGGACTTTGGTTATAAATTTAAAAACGGACAAATACATAAGTCATATGGGTTCATAGGGCCCTGAAGCATCACACAGCCACAATGCTTTTATTTGGGACCAGCAAGTCCCTGCACCTGACCCCTGGGTGACCTCATCAGAAGGGTTCATCCAGGCAACATCATCTGCTTGAAAGAGAAGCAGAAACCAGAACCACAACTGAAAGGCAGTGTTGTGACCAGAGTCTGCTGATATAGATGCTGATCTGAGTTCCCACCTGGTGGGGTGCTGAGGGGATTGAGCTTGTCAGGGAAGGCTCTCACCACAGATGGAAACAGAGGCACTGGTGCCTGCCCTCAGAGCCCCATAGGACCTCAGGTAGATGGAACCTAGGGCCATGTCCTAGACTTTGACCCTGGGATCTAGCTAAGCGAGTGTTTCCTGCAGTGTGGTGGTGAGACCTTTGGACCCTCACTGGGTCTTATCTGAGGTTTACTGCTCCACCTTCCCAGGTTGGTAAGTTACTGAGTATGTTCTCAGCTGGAAAGCTTAGGAAAGTTCTCGATTTGGCAAAGCTCCCAGGTTCTGAAGTTACTGCAGAGGTCAAGCATGAGACGTGTTAACCAATAGTCCCTGGAAAGCAGAGCTGCCACCTGGTCAGACAGATTGCTTCAGCTCACTGCTCTACCAGAGAGCAAGGTCTTCCTCAGGCCCAGAGCCCGGAGCCCCAACCTCCACTGTGGGGGCTGGCCCTAAGGCGCTAGGTTCCAGCATCTTTCCCTAACCAGCACTGGACAGCAGCCACAGCACCCTGTTTAGACCACATCAATCTTCACATGATGGACAGTGGCTTAGGGAGGAGAGCCCACAGAGGCTTCAGGCTGAAGCTGGCACAAAGGAGCTGCCTCCAGGGACCCAAGACAAGCAACCAGCAACCACTCATTGCTGACGAAGGTCCTCAAACATTTAGAAAATGGGAAGATTGTCTGAAGTATGGGTTTATCCCCAGATAGCCTGATCCCACCCTTGCATAAAAGGCTTACGTAATAAATAATTTCTCTTTTTCTACCGGCATTTCCTCTGTTTTAGTTTCTGCCCCTGAAAGTCTAGTGTAATAGAAAACTTGCAGTGAAGTGAGGTTTCCAAATTCAGATTTTTTACTTCCTTCTGCTATTTCAGGGATGAATCTTGGCAAAGTTGATACACTCTAAACTGTAGTTTGGGACATTTAAACTCTGCTTCTAGAGCTGGTGAGGTGGTTCAGAGGGTAAAGGTGCTTGTCATACAAGCCTGGAGCCCTCAGTTCCATCCCTGGAGCCCATTTAAGATGGGATAAGGCCACGATGTTGACCTCTGACCTCTACACACATGCCATGGCATGTGGACTTCCTACATGCACAAATACACACAATAACAACAATAAATAAAGAATTAAGACAAACTTGTTTTATGAGTTTCTATGGATTTGAGCAGATGTGCAAGGGGCACGTACCCTTTACTTGCTTCACGCTCCTCAGAGCATACTTCAAGGTCGCCAGCGTGCTGGCCTTCCCCTTGGCCTTCTTGTCTGCAGGGAGGTGGACCTTCAACTCCCTGAGCGTTCTTATCAGCTCTTTGTGTGCGTCGGCTTTGGCAGACTGCTCGCTACTGTGGAGTAAGGAAAGAGGCAGTCAAATGTGAGCTTCCTGGTTGCTCTTTTCTGAAGAACAAGGTCCAGTGCTGGGATGTCCAGCAGCACCCCTGTCGGTGTGGTCACCAGTGAGGTCTACAGACACTGCCAAATGCCCCCTTCCAAGAGACCACTGCTGGATGAGAATCTCTGCTCTTAGAAGCCCTTCCAACCAGAACCTTTACCAAGGGTCAGGGCCAGGCCTCATCCAGGAAGGGCTGCTTGGTCAACCCAAAGTATAGTGGTATAGACTGTATCACTAGGCTGGACATCCTTCCCTGCACTGTACAGGAAATAGGACTATGTGGATAACAACAAAGAGACCTCTGGGAACCTGAGAGTTGACCCTGAGCACAGACAGGAGGAAAGAGGAGCTTTAAAAAAAATAATTAGGGGCTGGAGAGATGGCTCAGTGGTTAAGAACACTGGTTGTTCTTGCAGAAGACCTGGGTTTGAATCCCAGCACCCACA